ACGACTATAGTTTCGACCTTTTTCAAGGGTCAAATCTTCAGGTAGGAATGAACACTGCATATAAATGGTAGTTGGAATTTAGGAAAGGTGACTAATCGGTTTTTTTGTTTATTATGTAGGTAAATTGTGAGAGAATATGATTTTCTGAAGCAAGTGTTTCGATATTTTCAGAGCATAGATCTTGTAGAGATAATCTTAAGTTTATGTCTATGTCTAAGTCTAGATTTTTTTTAATTATTTGGTGCTCTGATTTTTTTTGAACTGTGGTTTATTGCGCATGTCTTACTTACAATCGTTTTGGTCGATTGCATTTGATTGTGTTGGTATTGAAGAACGGTGTTGATTAAGAATGGTTCTGTTGGTATATTATAAGTTGTGTGTAGTTGATAGTGATTTGTTAAACATGTTCAGTTCAGCTGTAGTCACCTTTATATTGAAGGATTAATTTTGTGTCGACGATGCTGTATAAGTATTTAATAGAACATTATGTTTTTATCTAGAATGAGAGGAAAGTTGAATGAGTTTTTATTGTAGATGAATAAATGTAAAGTAAAACAAAGTAACACAAAACTAAAAAGGAATTATGAGATGAAATGAATTGTGTTTGGAGCAGATTGGTGGACATTCGACATAAGTGTCTAGTTTATTGTCAAATAGTGTTTTTTCGCTATGTCGCTACATTATTTACAGGCGCTAACATTGCTTTTGGTGGTTTCTTCTTGACGAATAGTTGATTTAGATTTTTATTACTTCTTGCGCCAATCTTCAAATTAACATTTTTCATTGTTGAATTTTTATCGATATAATGCTTTTTCCATAGTTTTTTCAATTCTTGTGGGAATTTTAACATTGGACCACTTTCGAAAGTAAAATAGACACGAATGTTTCTTGGATTATTATTCTGTTGTGGATGATCATCTAAAGCTATACTCTGTTTTTGCTTTTCTCGACGTGTTGGTTGCATTAATGATTGTCGATGTAATTCTCTATATACATCTTCATCCAATTGTTCCATTAAGGACATGACGTTGTTTTTTTGGAAAAGTTGTTTAAAATGATAGGAAATAAAGTTTGGCGGATAACCATTTAAGAGTAGAGTGAATTCAATATTTAATCGTTCTTGATCAAAATCTTCGACGTGAGAACATAGACGCGTTGCTCGAACTAATTGTGATTTGACAGTACTACGATGAATATGACGTGGATGATCAGATGTAAATGGTAGAATATATGGTTCAGCTGCTGGTTTATGAAATACAGTAGTTCGTAATTGGCCAACTTTATTTTCGACTAATACATCAAGAAATTCTACTGTTGAACCAATTGAATAACTGATTTTAATATTATGATCTCTATTATTAGCCATATCGAGTTGAGATTTGATTTGATCGAATGATAGATTCGTAGTCATGAAAACATCATCAATATAACTATTTGTTAAAAAAAAATTAGACGTAATAAAATTTAAAAAGAAATGATGCAACAAACATACCGGCCGTAGAGTTGATTATGTGTGTTTTGATATTCAACTAATGGTTGTTCCCATTCTAACATGTAGATATTCGCCAGTGTCATTGTAAATGGCGATCCCATAGCTCCACCACGAATTTGTTGATAGTATTTGTTTTCAAATAAAAATGAATTCGTATCTAAAACTAAACGAGCCAATTTTGTTATGGTATCGATTGTCATTCCATGAATTCGGCGATTTTCTGCATGTTTACCCAAGAATTTCTGTAATGCTAATATAGCTCCATCTCGAGGTATCATCGTATACAGATTAGATACATCAAAAGTAACAAACAATGTTGTTGGCAATAGTCGACCACTATTTCGATAGCTTTCCATGTGTCGAACAAACTCAATTCCATTGATATATGTTGTTTCTTTTGCTATTCGATCAAAGACAGGACGAAGTAAAAGATCTAAGAAATGTGAAACACCCGTTGCTGCTGCTTTTATCGATGAAACAATTGGTCTCGGTGGTGTACCAATCTATAGATACGAAGAACAAATATACATATACATCTCGATTCATATTATGTTTTAGAAATTTTACTTTGTGTGGCTTTGGTATCGTATATAGATAAGCTAATTCAGTCGTATTGATATGTGGTCGCATAGATTGTTTCCATAATTTAAGATTAATCTCTCCATTTTTCAACATTGGATCTATCACTGCTAATACTTTTTGTAAATGTTCATAACATGGATTGATACCACTGGTTATCTCTCTATAAGCATTCGTTTCCTGCATGTATTGCATTGCTTTTTGATGATAATCGTTTGCACTACCTAAATAAAGTACTTTACTTTTGTCGGTTGGTCGTATAACAACTTTCGACTTTCTAATTTCACGTCGAGTACTTTTAACAAGTCGATATTCATATTGAGCACGAGTAAATAATTTCGAAGATAAAGGTGTTGTATATAATCGATGAAGAAGATTGTTTACATCTGCAAAGAATTCTTTTGCTTGTTGATTAGAAGACGACGTACAATTATTGAAAAACCCCTTATCAAAACATTTAACAATATTCTGATATTCTCGACTAATAATTTTATCGATGTTTTGATTTGGAAAACGACTTTGACAAGGTGGTACATATTTAGGACCATTGGTAAGACAAGAGAATTGCTTCGATGAAAGAGAACAAGCTACTTCGATAATAGGTGATGATGGAAGAATATGACTGAAAATATCCATTACATTGCTCCGACGGTACCAGCCATGTTTACTACCATCGGAGCGTCGTCGAAAATCGATAATTTTTGTTGAAGAATAAGTTGACTACGTTGTACCATATTACTTTGACGTGCTCCAATAGCATTCATTAATTCAATGAGTGATTTAGGAATAGGTATTTGTCCGTTTGCACTATCAATTAATTTTTTCTTTTCATTTGCAATGATATTCGTATGACTTCGAACTGTCTCTTCAGCTGTACTAATAGTTAATACCATCATATCATATTTAAATTGTGCAATTGTTTTAAGTCGACGAAATGATAATGTTGCACGTTTATCTTGATTGATTGCTGGTTGTTTTAGCATATTTTCTATTTGATCAATAGAATGATCAAGAATACTAAAAGATGAAGGTAATCGTTTAGCATAGATACGTTGTTTAAGAATGGCGACATCTTGTTCAGCTTGTAGTTTATCTTTTACAGCTTGCCAAATAATTTTAGCAGAACGAATCTAAACAAACATATTTGTTTTTTTTGTATACAAAATTATGAATTATGTCTTATGCATACCTGATTTTCAGTTGGTTTTAAATGATAAAATGCTTTAACAAAACGATGATCATTAGCATCATATTGTACTATTAATTTTTTTCGTTCAAATTCTTTCGATAGTTTATGTTGACCTTGACGAACAAAAGCAGTAAGAATTACTGATAATTTATTCATATCAAAGGATCTATTCCTTGGCTGTTGCTTATGTTGATCCAGTTTATTTTCTGCTTCCCGTAATCGTTTAACAATCAGTGCATAATGTCGTCCGAGTTGAATTTTTGTTTTAAATTTAAATCGACAAAGATTATTGTGTTTAGCCATATCTTTTATCATAGGTACAGACCAAATACCTTCAGACATACATACAGTATTATAATGTTCCCAAAAGTTTTCTTCTAATTTGAGATAAAAGACATTATTAAGTAAATGAGCATATGTACGGACGAATTGTAATTTTTCTGGTGTATCTAGTAATAATTCAATGATATTCTGTTCTCCTACCAATGCTCTTGATAACATATCTTTAAATACTTGATCAGATACTTTTAAATATTTAGGTTTATTATCTGATACTGTTGGATTGTTGTCAGTTTTCTTCTTGCTTATAACATTGTTTTTTGTCGTAGTTGAACGTTGTCGTTTTGTTGGAAGATTAGAAAGTGACATTTGACTCATTGATGTTGTGACACCTGTTGTTGGTCTTATTTCTCGTTTACGTTTACTTGTCGTTGTGGTACGTTGAATATTTTCATTTTCCACATGATCACGTGTAGATATAAGTTGTTCTACATCCATATTAGAAACAGTCGATTGTTCATCATTATTTCCTTGTTCACTAGTATTATAATCATTGATTAATGTTGCAATTGTTTCATGACTTAATCCTCGTTTACGAAGTTTTGCTCTGAATCGTTGCAGTTTACGATTGCCTCGAGATGTTTTCTTTTTTGGTTTCTGCTGTTGTTGTTCTTTCTGATGCTGCTGCTGATGTCGTTGTTCAGGTTGTGAAAATGGTGGCCGTCGTTGTTGTTGTTGTTGTTGTTGTTGTTGTTCAGGTTTTAAAAGTGGTAGCCGTTGTTGTATAGGTTGTGAGAGTGATCGTTGCTGTTGTTCATGTGTTAGCACTGGTATTGGTAAAGTAGAAATATCAGATGGAACATGTTGCTGTACTCCTCGCAAAGCTTGAAATCTTCGCATAATCTCATCATTATCGTTATTCATTATAAATGTGATAGTATCTAAAATAATATTGAAAAAAAAAGAATGAAGCAAGAAACAAAGAGGTTCAAAAAATAAAAAT